CGGAAGAGTGTTCGCTGTAGGAGAGCTCGACAAGTGGATTATTAAGAGAATAATTTCTTTGTTGGCGCAGGGATCGTAATAAAGCTATTTTTGTCCTCTCGAGCGAAACATCGTATTCTTTTCTGTCACTACACGATGGCGGATTTTACGAGGCTCCTCAGTGTTGCTGAACAGCTCTCCTCCGAGGCAATAAAATCCGCCGTTAAAAAACTTTTAAATACGTTTCATTCGACTGGCTATAGAGACCACTGTTACGCTCGTCGCTCGTGCAACTGGAAGAAACAGGTAGCTCCTCGAGGAACGTCTCTCTCTCTCTCTCTCTCTCCGTTTTCTTTATCAAACTTCTCCATAATTAGTCGAAGATTACCAGGTACACGCTGAATGGTGCTCCAACGAATGGCGGTTCTTTTCACCCCGCCATCCCCGTTCTCGCGCTCCGCGAGTTTTCTAGGTGTGATTGAAAGGTAACGACGACGGGGATCCCCCTGCCGGGCGGAGAAAGAAGCGGAAGAATGGACGGCTGCAGCGGAGAATGCGTCGTTGAACGTAAGAAAAATGACCGGCCGCGGTAAAAAAGGATTCTTAGCCGTGGGTGTAAGAAAGTTGGAGAAGAAGCCCGGCGGAATTACGCGCTATAAATCGTTGACTATTTATCGACTCTCGAGTAACTGCTTGGAAAGTTCGTGACGCGGTGCTGTACTCGATCGAATCTGCAACTTTCTTGCGCCTCTGCCTACTCCCGCCATTTTTTCCCCCGCTGTCCGATAATTCTGCAGGGTTTTGCGCGAAAGATTTATAGCCACGTTAATTACCGCGACCATTTAGCAGCGCAGTGTCGGTACGCGATCGGCTGATCGTCCTCGATCGCGATCGATTCCTCGTCGAAACGATTCTTGCACTCGAAACCGTGTTTATGGTCTTAATCGTCCTCCATGTGCGTAGTTGGAGTTTACACGAGCGAACAAAATATAAAGTCCGCGAGTTTCGCCCTCCATTCCCATCTCTCTTTTTCGATCATTCGTTATTTTCCTTTTCACTTTTTCCTTTTTCGCTTTTTAACGAGCGCGCAGTCGAAAATGATTTTTAAATTGCCGCCAGCGAGTGGAAAATACGACGGCCGGACCTACGGTAAACAACATTTTTAATAGAGTTTTCAGGATTCCGGGTCGTTCGGCGAATTTGGAAATCGGCGCTCGGCCGACCCTTTTCGACGATATCGCGCTTATTGAAACGCGAATCGCGTTAACATCGCAAATAGACGGCCCTTCAGCGCGAAATTCCTGATGGAAAACCAAGGTTAAATCGGCAGACGTTAAACGGGTTTAAATTAAAATCAAACAGCTACGCGGTGTCAACGACGAAAGAAGCAGTTCGTTAAATTTCCGAGGAAAAATGCGAAGCGAGCTGATACCTCGCGAATTAATTATCTGGTCCCTCGGGAGGATCGATGGATCTAGCGAATCGTTGCGAATGTGCGTTCCCATATAGCTTCGGATGGTATTAACAAGGGCAAATATTAACGCGCGCGATCCACGTTAGTCTCGATCGTTCAAAGTGGTTCCGTTTGTCTTGGTCAAAGAGCGATTCGGAATGTGGAGAACGTTCTGCGAATCTATTCGGCCAAAGCAACGGGCTATGCGAAAAACTCGATATCTGGTTTGTCGCGAAATCGAAGCTCGAAGGGAAAAATTTGTCCGATCGCATAATTCCACGTCCCATTTTTTAATTTCTTTTTTTAATCTCATAATTCCACTCTTT